ACCTCTACAGCTCACCGACCTGTCGCGCCGTCCAGTGGACGGTACATGTAAGTGCATCATGTCACAAAACATTTTTTAATTGAGAAAATAGAATTAAACAGTAAGGACAGAAAAAAAGTTTAGAGAACAAAACTGAACAGGGGCTTAACAAATAACGGAGTTCAGAGCATTATTGTCCTAAAAAAAAAAAAGTTTAAAGTCGCAATGAAACAGAAGTTAAGATTGTCCTATTTTCCTCTATCATTACATTCATCCACTTGAAGGAGGAAAGGTTATGATATTTGATGAAGTATTATAATAGCAAATAAATTTTTAGAATGAAATAATGAAATGCACGGATATATTGCTCATGCTCTACTATATACATATAGAAATAAATGTGCATTTTGATTGCATGGTGACTTTAAATATCAGATTAATTAAAATTACTAACTCAATTTATTTTGAATAATTTCTGACTTCATGATATTTATAGTAAAAGTGCTCAACTTGTTTTGGGCTGCTGTAAACAAAGCTGTCCTCAATGTCTTATGTCTTGTGGACATGGGGTGTAAATTGCAGAACACACTAAAAGCACAAACACACACACACACACACACACACTGTAATCATAATGGACAAGTGCTGTTTCTCTAGAGTATTTCAGTAAGCAGTTTTTGCTAATCATTAAAGATTGTGGTATTAGTTTTTCTGTTGATTGTTTGCACCAGGAGTTCACAATGTTATATGAAAAAAAAAAACTGTACAGAGTTAACATGGCGTGTGTATCGAATAATACATTCTGTAAGAAAGTGGAAATCTTAGTAATGTTAGTAATGAATATGACTGAGAAAGTAAGTATAAAAAAGACCGTGTGAATGAATCATTCCTTAATATTATAATATGCAGAATCCTCATCTTCAGGGCTGTCCGCGTTTACCCAGGATCTCTTTATATTCTGGAGAAAAAGATGAGCATATGAATGAATAAGATTCCTCAAACCCTTCTTAAGGCTACATCATTCTTAAGTTGTACCTTAAAGAAGATCTATTATGCAAAAATCACTTTAATAAGGGGTTAAACACAGTTGTGTGGCAACAGTTTGTGAATATAACCAGCTTTTGACCAGCTGAAGATAATGTCAGCGAATAAGAGGATTAAACTGTGGAGTTTTAGATGAAGCACAAATGAACAGTGGAGTATCCATAGATTGCCTCTACTGAGACACTTTTGTTCACATTTTCAGTTTTCGCAGAGATAACGCCCTGTTTTCTGCCACTATGCTGACACACAGGCATTTATAGCTCCGCCCTCTTTTTAAAGAAGCACAATTGTCCATACTCTAGGAAAACTTACTTAAAGCTCTTGTTAAAATGTAAATATAAGCTGAGAAGTATTTTTGCCATTTTTGCTTCATGGAAGAAGGCTGTGTAATTTCTGGTGAAAAAAAAACTTGCTGGTTGAATAAAAGTAACATTAAGTCAAAATTTGTCATGGGTATGAATTGACTATATATATATATATATATATATATATATAAAAATAAAAATAAGAGCTTTCTTTATTTAGTGACTTTCACAATAATGTCGGTTTAGTCATTTTGTTATTGTTAATATTATTATTGTTATTATTATTATTGTCGTTGTTGTTGTTGTTGTTGTTATTGCTTGAACTGACAATACAAGAACATCAGAACAAAGTCCAAAGGATAACAGACAGATGTTAAAAAAGGTCAATAACAAACATAGTCATAAGCACAAATGAACAGTGGAGTATCCATAAACTGCCTTCTTCTGAGACATTTTGTTAAAATTCAGTTTTTCACTGAGATAATGCCCGATTTTCTGCCACACAGGCATTTATAGCTCCACCCTCTTTTTAAAAGAGCACAATCTCATTTGAATTTAAAGCAACAGTCACAATTAGGATCTAAGCCTAAAAGAGTGTTTTAGACAGTTATAAAACATTATTCATGTTGTATTTAGTGCTGAAATTTTACACACACATTCTAGGGACATCAGAGACTTATTTTACATCTTGTAAAATGGGGCATAACAGGTCCCCTTTAAGCTGTACTGTGTGTTTTCCGACACTCTCTTAATTAATTAAGTCATACTTTCATAAGGTTGGAATGGACCACTCATACCAAGAAATCAAGTAAATTAAAAACATTTAAATGCAAATTAAATACCCTGCAAGTTAATACCATCTCCATGCAAGTTAATACCATCTCCATGACCAGCAAGGAAAAAATATATACAACATTATACATTATAATATAGAATATATAGAATTATATATATATATTTATATATATATATATATATATAGAGAGAGAGAGAGAGAGAGAGAGAGAGAGAGAGAGAGAGAAAAGTGCGTTAAAAATAAAATATATTATTATTATTATCATTATTATTATTATTAAAACTTCGCTAGAGTGGACTTATTGTAAGATTAGATTGAGATTGAGTAAAGAGTTCCTCATAGTTTTACCATCCATGCCAAACAACTCACATCGTCATACATAAGGTAAACATTAAGCAACCTCTTTAAGTCACAGTTCAAAGAACACACTAACAAATGGTATAACTTTAGTGAGGATGTTAGAGACTTTTAGAGTCTTTACACCCTATTATAGGACAACATTATTTATGAACGCAGCCTAGATGTTTTATCTGTGGATGATAAACAGAGAGTAACTCACGTCTAGTGTGTCATATTCAGAGCATCTAGACTTAGGGTCAAGGGTCATGTAGGGGTCTTCAGAAGACTCCACCTGACAATGATGAGAGGATCAATTATTCATTCAACACTGACCGATCACACGCAAGCTGATTTACACACCGTTTTACAGCGTCCTCTGTGGTTTTTCTCTTCTGACCGAGTCACTCGTTTCCTGTATAAGTAGAGGAAATGATCATGAACACAAACTGACTCTGAATCTTCATGTACAGAGTCTCTCACCTTCTGATCAACAGCCAAATTGAAACTATCAGGATCACAGACGCCACGAAAGCAGCTGCAGTGATTCCTGCAGTAAACATGATCCAAGATGAGCTGCTCTCCTCATCTGTGCAGGTCAAATAGAGCAGGTGTTTATTATACAGACAATAATTACATTTCCAATTAAAGATGTGAATTAGATTCAGCACAAAACTGGAATAACGCATAAAACATTAGTGAATAAAGAAGAGTTTCCGTCTAATGAGCCAAACTGGAGCAAATAGCAGACAGATTGTAGTTTCATGCATTGGGAGATGGTGTTTTTTTCTTTAATAAATGAGTTGTGCTTGACAAAGACGGAATATAATGGCCTCAATATGAAGGCTTTTGGAGGCTTAAGACACTCTTTGGAAACACAGACAAATGCTCAAGACAGTTCTGGAGGTAATAGTATTAATAATAATACTGAACCACTGTGATGACAGACTTTGGCTGAGGAATTTTAGAAATGAGCATTTCAGATGTTTTACAATGTGCTCGAAATGCTGGTTTGTCCATTAATGCATCATATTAAGCTGATTTTTGTGATCACATGATCTGCTCAAAAAAAAAAAAAAAAAACTTTTTTTGATGCACATACTGGAATTTATTTGCTAGATATGTTTTCCTTTAAATTTACGGCCCTTTTTTATACGTCTTTAAACTCATACTGATACTAGGAAGGAAAATAGTTATGAATAAATGGGTTGGGACAAAACCCCCTCTTGTCAAGGACTGGATAATCCTGATTAAAGAGACCCTAATTATGGAAAAGATTGGACATATAATAGGAAAATCCAAGTTATTTCAGAAGCTGTGGGAAATTCCTTTGACCTGTCTTAATGTAACGAAGTGGCTGACACAGAGGGATCCATTTGCAGTATTTTTATTAAACACAGTTTAATAAACAATAGCACACAGATATTGTGCGTGCGCAGACTTACAATCACAGTAGTATACTGTCGTTGGGCTGGCGGCAGGTAAACACGATGAATATGCAGGCATGGGTCAGAGGCAGGCGGCTAGTATCAGAGTCGGTAAGCAGGCTAGAGTTCAAGGCAGGCGGCGAGGATCAAAGTCGGGATTCAGGCTGAAGTACAAGGCAGGCAGGACTGGGTCAGTAAACGAAGCAGGATCACAATGGGAAAGCAGGCAAGGATGAGACCGCTCAGTAGTGTTAGCCGGGGCAGAACAAGATTTCGCAATGAAGCAGCATGCGTGTGTGCGCGTGTGTGTGCTGCTTATATGTGTGAGGAGAGTGATTACTGGATGCGCTTCAGGTGTGTAGGCAATCAGTGTAAGTGGATGACGTAATGTCAATAGTCCGGTGATGATGACCTCTGCTGGCCAGTGAGGGGAATGACTGGGACCGAGTCGGTGACACTTAGAAGTGATTATAAGTCTACTTTTTATCCTTAACTGTGCACACCATGATATTGTAATATTGTATTGAATTTTATATATTTTTATTATATTTTTATATTTTATTGATATTGTTTTTCTTTCTTTTTTTCCTTTAAAAATACTGTATACTGTTTATTATCTACTCATTGCTGCACTGTAAAAAAAACTCCGCAAAAAGGTCAAAAGGCTTACAGAGATATTCTATTAAATTACAGAAAAAAACCTTTTCACAAAATTACAAGCAAAACTGTAAAAATACAGAACAGACTTTACAGGCAAAATTAGAGTTTAGTATTGTTGATAATTTGCATTTAAACTGTGGAAAAAAATAAGGAATAACTGCCATTTTACTAATTATTATGAAAATTATACAGATTATTATTGTAATTTTATAAATTATTACTGTAAATATATAATTTATTAGTGTAATTATACAGATTAATGTGATTTTAAAGATTATTACTGCAATTATACAGGTTATTATTGTAATTATGCAAATTAATGTGATTAATAATTAGTAATAATGCAAGTTATTACTGTAATTATACAAGGCAAGGCAAGTTTATTTATATAGCACATTTCAAAAACAGTGGCAATTTAAAGTGCTTTACATAAACAAGAATAAAAGAGACAAGCATGAATAAAATAAAAACAAATAATATAAGAACAGATGAAAAAAAGTGTAATGTATATGTTTCAAAACTCCGTTGTATCATATTTTCTCATTTTACTCTGGGACTTCCCCATTCTGGTGATCACCAACCATCACCATAAATAGCTTTTGACCTAGATGAGATCAACACAGATGATCCTTACCTTTATTAGTGACTGAAACAGACTCTGATCTCTGAGAGCCATATTTATTCTCAGCCTCACAGTAGTATCGTCCACTATCTAGTGCACTAAAACTCTGTCCAGATCCAACAGCTGAGCTTTGAGTCTCCTTTAACCAGGTGAAGTTCACAGCAGGAGGGTTTGAGTCGCTGCTGCAGCTCAGAGTCACTGAATCTCCAGACACTATTACAGCAGATCCACTGACGGACACTGAGACGCTCTTTGGAGGACCTAAATAACAAGCGTGAATGGTGTGCAAGATACATAGCAATACTCAAATGATGTAATTCAGGATTCATTATAAATATTTCATTAAGTTTTCAAGCATGATTCTAATGAACATGCAAACCTGTTTTCAAATAAAGTGTCTGCTCTCACCTCCAGGTCTAACAGTGATGTTAACTTGTGTAGAGTTGAGTCCCTCGTGTCCGCTGATGATGCACAAATATAGTCCGCCGTCCTCCAGCATGACAGACTCCACATCAAGCATGTTGTTCCCATAGTGCTGACTGTGCAGATGTCCGTCTTTCCTCCAGGTGTAGGTTGGTACAGTCATGGAGGGGATGCATGAACCGCAGCTGAAGAAGATCCAGTCTCCCTCCATCACAACATCAGATTGGGTCTTTACCTCCACCTCCACATCTAGACCAGCAAGAAAACATCTATGCTTAGAGATTCTTGAGGATTGTGATGTCGGAGCAATGCAATAAGCAGGTGTAATGAGCCCTAAATACACATGAACTTCAATCTCAAAGAGATGGTTCACCCAAAAATCCAGAATCGTAGTCAATAAGCAGGGAGATGGTCAAAGGCAGGCAGCAGACATGAATAAACAAAACAAATCAAAGATCGATACATGGCAAGACCAGGCAAGGGAAACATGTCGTAATGTTCACAGCACAGTAATGTATAAAAAGATAAATTAACTAGTAATGAGTCCATGAGCAGCTTCAGCTGTGTGAGTCAAATCAATGGAGACTTGGAGCAGGTGTGTGCGTGTTGCATGACTGGATCTTGTAGTTCATATACCGGCAGATTAGATCTGTGTGTTTACCAGCGACGTGAAAGGATTAGATTGCTGGTGATTGTGACGACAACAACATAGGCTCATTCTGAAATCGTAGCCCTATATACATTTCTGGAGATCCCAAATTATTGACCCGTTAAAGCAGGGGTGGTCAACCCTGTTCCTGGAGATCTACCTTCCTGCAGATTTCAGTTGCAACCCATATCAAGCACACCTGCCTGTAATTATCACGTGGTGTTCAGGTCCTAATTAATTGGTTCAGGTGTGTTTGATATGGGTAGCAACTGAAATCTGCAGGAAGGTAGATCTCCAGGAACAGGATTGAGCACCTCTGCGTTAAAGCAACAAACCCGTCAGAACCAACGACCAAAATATACCAATATCTACAACAAAATTTTCTTAACTTGAAGAATTTTTAAATATTGACTGGCCTCCACAGAGTCCTAAACTCAACCCAATTGAATCTCTTTCATCCTGAATTATGAGACTGTGAATTTTGGATATTTGGACTGGAATCAAGACAAAACTCTAAAGCAATTAAAGCATTTGGTTCATCATAATGTGAGAACTCAAATTAAAGATGCATGTGTAACGAAGGCAAGCTAGTGAGTGCTGTGCAGGTAAACCCCACTCCTCTGACCTCTAAAGATGCTCTAGCGACAGACGCTAGAGGCCATGGTCTTTAGCCTCCTTGGTAGAGCAACCGACTGCCATGCAGAAGGTCGCCGGTTCAATACCAGCTCGGAGCGGGTTGGGTGGGGTTACATTGGTGCCGTGACCCGGATGGGAGTGAGGTTTAGGGGGGTGAGTGTAACGGAGGCCAGCTAGTGAGTGCTGTGCAGGTAAACCTCACTCCTCTGACATCTAAAGGTGCTCTAGCGACAGACACTAGAGGCCATGGTCTTTAGCCTCCTTGGTAGAGCAACCGACTCCCATGCGGAAGGTCGCCAGTTCGATACCAGCTCGGAGCGGGTTGGGTGGCGTTGGACCGGTAGGGTTACACATGCAAACACATATGCTCCACTGACCTGTCACTTCTAAACGGACTCCCTGTGTGTTTGTCCAGTTGTGTCCAGAATCATCCGTGAGCATAAAACTGAAGATACCCGCGTCACTGACTCTCACATCCCTCAGCACCAGTGAACAGTTCCCAGAGTCCGTCATAAACTCCACACGGCCTGCAAACGCTGAGTCCTGAGAGACTGAGAGCTTCTGCTTTGCTGCTTTCTCATGGAGCCACTCTGCAGAGCTCACCTGCTTCCCGAAACCATATCCATCATATTTACAGGGAATGAGCACCGTCGACTGCCGAACTACACACATACTGCTGACAATATGAGAAACCTCATACTGCACACCTGCAATACACACATATGTAATTAGATACAGAGTATATATGCATTAAAAGAGGTCTGTGCATTCTTGATGTGAAAAGTCATTCTTTTTGTCCATATAATTTTGCTTGTTTTATGAAAAAAATCACTTAATTTTGACTTACTATTTCTGAAAACAAAACATTTTTAACTTGAATAATTTTTAGATATTGACGGGCCTGCACAGAGTCCTGATCTCAACCCAATTGAACCCCTTTCATCCTGAATTATAGTTGAGACTGTGAATTTTTGATATGTGGACTAGAAACAAGACAAAAACTCTAAGTAAGAAAAGTATTTGGTTCATTATAATGTGAGATTAAACATTATAAAGGGATTACAGGGATTTCTATAGCATTAAAGGGATTTTTCACCCAAAAGCGGAAATGATCTTATTCTCTCTCATGTAGTTGTAAACCTTTAATAGTTTCTTCTGTTGAACACAAAGGAAGATGTTTTGAAGAATGTTGGTAGCTGGCACCCACTGACTTCCATAGTAGGAAATAAATGAATTAATATGGATGTCAATGGGTGTCAGCATTTTTCGAAGTATCTTCTTTTGTGTTCAACAGAAGAAATAGACTCAGAAAAGTTTTGAACAAGTAAAGAATGAATAAACATGCAACCTAATCTGCTAAGACATTAGTAAACATTAGTTTTTTGTTGTCACACAAGTTTTCTTGGACAATGTTTTATGGACTTTGAGTGTTTCAGAAACTCAAAAATCTTTTTCTGATATTAATAATAATTGAATTAATATAATAATGATCATTTTTGGGTGGACTAACCCTTTATAACCTGAAGATTCTCAAACTTTTGAAAGGGGTTATTTAAATATCATTAATTTTCCTTCGGCTTAGTTCCTTTATTCACCAGGGGTCGCCACAGAGGATGTTTTACACAGTGGATGCCCTTCCAGCTGTAATCCAGTACTGGGAAACACCCATACAGTTATTCACACACGCTCATGGCTAATTTCATTTATTTAATTCACCTATACCGCATATGTTTGGACTGTGGGGCAAGCCGGAGCATCCGGAGGAGAGCAAGCAAACTCCACACAGAAATGCCAACTGACCCAGCCAAGACTTGAACCAATGACCTTCTTGCTGTGAGGTGACTGTGCTAACGACTGAGCCATAGTGTCGCCCTAATTTAATACCTTTTATGTTAAATAAATATGCATCTTCCACATGTCCCTACACTGAAAGAAATTACTTTTTGTTGTAAATAATAAATTTACTCTCTTAATTTTTAAATTGTAGCGTCAAGGATAACTAGAATTTTCTAAGTAAATATTTAATATTTAGAAATTTACTTCATGCAATAAATTAAACGAGTGGAAATAGTTACTTGCGATATTTAAATATGTTGCAAACTTAGTAATATTAAGTACATTTTAATAATTGATATGTCGTAATGGATGTGTAGTTCCCAGAATGCTTTGTATGGGACTGAAATAAGAGTGGAATATTTTGAAAATAAAAGCAATCGTATTTGTTTAAATTTAAGAGACTTTTTAAAGTTTATTCATTATTAGTTAGAGTTTGAGTAGAGTTTGAGTAAATGTTATTAGTTTTCCGGTTACCACCTTTCAGAAGAGCAGCACTCATGCTTTGAATCTTGGCATTTTTTCAACATTAATGTTTAATGCTTCACTCAAAGAGCTATGCTAACACTAATTCTATAAGATTAGTAAGGATTTTTTAAATAAATTTGCTCTTGGATTCAGTTTGCTTAAACTAAAGTGAGATAACAAATGCCAAGTCAGTGGAAATGTGGCTTTTAATTAAACAAGTGATGCCAGATGTACTCATTTGTAACTAATAAGATTTATTTAAATTATTTTTAAAAATCAGTGTTCTTTTTGCTAAAACATGAACTTGACATCTCAATCAAAGATAATCAATTAACTTTTACTTTGTTAATTTAGGAGTGTTAGATTAAACAAGTAAATTGTACATGATGTTGACAAGTTAATTGTATCTGATATAAGAATGTAAAATTTACTGGTTTTTACTAATGACTGGTATATATACACACACACACACAAAAGGAACAGTAACAGTCACTTAATGAAGCAAGTAACACACACATACACACACACACACATATATATGTGTGTGTGTGTGTGTGTGTGTGTGTGTGTGTGTGTGTGTGTGTTACTTGCTTCATTAAGTGACTGTTACTGTTCCTTTTGTATGTACTCTGAACTGTTTACCAAGTTTCCTTTACATGCACACACATATACATGCACACATGCACAAACACACGCTCCTGCCAGTATTTGACTATATTGTTGTTGTTTTTGGTATTTTTGGTATTGTTTGATAGGTTTTTGTATTTGTATAACTTCAAATTGTGTACCTTTTGTACCTTTTGTATATTCTAATAAATAATAATAAATAAATAAATAATGTAAAATGTACTGAATTTTTTAGTCTAAATTGTTATGAGGATATTTTTAAGTAAATCTTAAGAGTTATTTTTCAGTGTACTGCAAGAAAAATAGCATGCTTGTTTGACCTGTCTTATTTTATTAACATTATTGCCAGATTCTGCAACAGGTTCCCAGACTTCTACATATTTTGATTTGATCCACTCCCAATGTTGAATATAGTATTTAACATATTCAGAGGTTGATCAACAGTATTTGCACAGGACTCCTCATTCATGAAACTTCATTAGGAATAAATACGCCATGTCTCTTCTAAATGATATCTTTGAAAACTTGAGCCTGTTTCCTTGTGACTGTAAATAGCTAAGTGTGAAAGTAAAACCCCAAACTGTGGGTGTTTGCTGAAGTGACACAGGGTGATGAAACTTTCCAGCAAATGTGCTGCCAGTGAAGCAGTTCTGTTTCAGACTAATGTAAAAATGTCTTGCATAAAGATGTACAAATGTGTCCTCTATTTGCAGATAAAATGTTACCTGTTGACATCAGAGAGAACCAGATGAAGGACTGAAGCAGAAGAGCTGGACAAACCTGCAAGACAGCAAAACCTTCATCATTATTATTCGTCTTACTTGAAACTATGCTCTTGTCTTCGGCTCGTCATTAATTTAAAAATAGCTTGAGCGTTCCAAAACTTCTTTAGACAAATGAGATGTCAATGAGCATCAGGAACTGCCTGCAGCAAAAACAAATTTGGGGGTCAATTGGGGCCCAATTGGATGTCAGGGGTGACCAGTGCCACCCGGGACACCCCTCTGGCTCCGCCACTGCCTTCATGACATCTCCGGTAAACCAGAGCACCCAGAGGAAACCCACGCCAATACAGGAAGAACATGCAAACTCCACACAGAAATTGAAAAGATCTTGCTGTGAGGCGACAGTGCTAACCACTGAGCCACCATGCTGCCTAACTACCCTCATTCATTCATTTATTTTCCTTCAGCTTAGTCCCTTATTTTATCAATGGTCAACACAGCGGAATGAACCGCCAACTATTCTGTTTTACGCAACGGATGCCATTCCAGCCGCCACCATTCCACCCAGCTACCCTCATCTTATAGTAGTTTAAAGTAAATATTATAGTGTTTTTGAACCACAATATGGTAAAGCACTTAATTAATCTGTAGCGTTGACTTTATAGTTACTATAGTTACAGAACAAATACAGTAATATAAACGACTAAATGATTAAATACTGGCGGTTCATTCCGCTGTGGTGACCCCTGATTAACAAGGAATGAATGAATGAATAAATACTGTAGTTAAGGGTGTATAACTATAGTGTATATTATACTACAATACACCACAGTTTACTGTAGTCAAGACTGAAGTATACTACAGTATTTATTACAGTTCACTATAGTTAATACCACAGTATATTGGAGCGTTCATTAGCAAAGAGTTACACTTGTACTATACTTTTACACATTGTGCTGATTTCCCTTTATTTAATTACCCTAATTAAACAAAGTTAAGATCAGGATCCTCCCTTAGCTATATTTCTTAGCAAGAGTTTAGTTAAAGGATCGTCTTTAAAGAACGTAGTTTGCAAAAGAATAAATTAGAGCATACTTTACCACACAGGGTAACTTAGATGGGTTCTGGAAAATGAAGTCAATGTCCACTCCAGTGAAGAAAATTAATAAAATACACTTTTATTAATAAAATAAAATCCAGTGAAAAAGTAGAACAAACAAAAGACAAACAGAAAACAAGAAATCGTTACTTTGCCTCTCGATAGAGACAAAGGGCAACCAACCTCAATGAACAGAAGTCGGGAAGCGCAAAGCTGGTCAGAAAATGCTCAGCTTTTATACTCACAAAACCAGGTCAGGCACATATAATAGTGTTCATAAATCATGCAAAAACTGCTTAACTCATACATTCAAGGAGCATGCTAAATCACTTGAACAATAGGAAGACAGATATATGAGTACATAGAAATCAATACATGGGCCTCTTTAATATCAGCCTCACTTCCCTCAGTTATGCCCCAGATTTAGGTGTTCGAGCTCGGCAAGGAGCTGGGTAGAGAGCTCTGTAGAAGTACGAGGAGGGGGTTCATTTAAAGTACAAGGGAGGGGGTAGCCTGAGGTACCTAAGGGTTCACAGAGAGTTCGTCCAGCTGGTTTGTTGATTAGGCGCGCCCTCTGCCGGAGCCGCCTGTTTTGTCTCTTACGTTTCACTTCATCACTAAGAGTTGTGCTTTTACGCATAGGAATATCAGAATACATCAGTGATCTTTTGTGTCTCACATGATTAATGTCATCTGACCCATCAAACATCACAACATTTACTGTAGTATTTCTTTTATGTGGCCTGATATGTTGTCGTAGTCTTAAAATTGTAGACATTTCTAAGCAGCTGGTCTCAGATCAGTCATTGTCACACTCTCAAAAAAATTAGGGGAAGTTGAAATATTTCGAAATACGCATTTAATTCTGTCATTATTTTGATTGAAAATGGTAAAGACGTGTTTCTAAACTTTATCATATCCATGCTTGACTTACAACTGAGAATAAACCACCCAACTGCGTCTTTTTACCATATATGCTAAAACAATGCAGTACAGAAAGTAGGGTAACTTCAATGGGTCAAACCCAGACATAAACATAGAAATAAATAAGATTTAAAGTGAAATGTTCTACCATAATCCTGAAGTCTTCAAATGTTGACGATCAAAACTGCCAGCAGACGAGAAGTCGAACCCTTTAACGAAACAGGATGACTACTAAGACTAAAATATTACATCCTCTTTTCCTTGATATCATGGTAAAACTTAAGTTGTTAAAACTGCTGACGCTTTTAAACTGTCATAACCACAGACAGTACAGCAGCTCTAAAGACACCAAACATCATCATTGATATAATTTATACGGTTAATAAATTGCATTACAGTAGTTTTCACAAAGTAAGGATACCTCAGACTGAGGCAACTGCTGGAAAAGATAAATAAAAAAACAAAAAGGAAAGGAAATTACATTTGTCAAAATGTCACACTAAGAATATTAAGTTTAAACACACTCTGTCTGTTTACATTTACATTTGGGAAAGTGATATTATTGGTTAGAACATTTCTATTTTGAGTGAATTTGTCTAGAAAACCATTCATTTTCTTTTCGGCTCATTTTTTTTATTAATCTGGGGTCACCATAGCAGAACATCTGGTGAAAACTACATTACCCATGATGCTCTACAGAAAATTCCACCAATCAGAAAGCCACAGTTAGCAAAGTGCCAAAAAATGACATAAATCAGTGTTTATGATCAAAGTAATTAAATATTTGAACATAAGTACATCTATATTTGCAATAATAAAAGTAAAATATATATTTTATACCTTCAAATAATGAACAGTTTTGTTTTTCTCCCCAGGTCTAATTAATAAATATAGAAAAATACACATGAAGAACATCATAGCCAACGTATTCAGCTTATGTTTTACGCATCGGATGCCCTTCCAGCTGCAACCCATCACTGGGAAACATCCATTCACTAATGTAAATTTTAACATGCCCAATTCCCCACTATCACATGTCTTTTGACTCTAAGAAATGCCAACTGAGCCAGCCGAGGCTCAAACCAGCGACCTTCTTGCTGTGAGGCAAATGTGCTACCCATTGCGCCACCGCATCGCCCTTTTAAATTATATATAGCAAAGTGTATATTTGTTAAAGCTACAGTAATAAATTGGTAAAGCAGGCTATAAGTGGATTATATTGTTTCAGTACGCAAAACAAACCTATTTCTGGAAATTTAAAAAAGGTTTAATTGCAATAGAGGAATTACCAACCAACATCACACGACATCACACGCGTTCAAATGCGCATAGTGGCTGCAAAAAAAAGGCGAGTTGCGATGGCAAACATGTCGTGTTGTGAGGTAGGATGCCAAAATTGATAGTCCAAAAATTAAAAAAATAACTAGATTCTTAAAGTTTGAGAACAAACTTTGAGGCTGGCTTGTGAAAGCCTGACGGTAATAGTTTATTTATTTTAAACAGTTTTAAAAAGTATGAAAAGATAGATAGATAGTTAGATAGATAGATAGATAGATAGATAGATAGATAGATAGATAGATAGATAGATAGATAGATAGATAGATAGATAGATAGATAGATAGATAGATAGATAGATAGATAGATAGATAGATAGATAGATGATAGAGGGATGGATGGATGGATGGATGGATGGATGGTGTGCTGGCATAAGTCAAACAAGCCAACCCCCGCTTCTCTACGATTTTCTGATACTGAGATATAGCTGCTGTTATATTGTTGCTAGGTTAGTCTGTTTTGTTGACTGATGATGTATCAAAGCTTCTTGCCAGTATGAACAGTTAAAAGCAACACACATGTCTCTATCACACTGCAGCATGACAATATCAATCTGAACCTCTATAATGGAGGTCTATGGGACCGTTGCTAGGGTACCATATCTGGTTGTTAGGGGTGTGGCTAAAAAGTTAAAAGCTCATCAGTTATTGGTAGTTTGGTAGTCTGAGTTAAATGAGCCCAGTTAGAAGTCTGTGCGACAGTCTGATGTAGAGTTATGAGCTCACAAAGTTTGACCCAATGTAAAGTCAATGAGAGTCTTTTGCAGTGGAAGTCTATGGGACAGTTTCTAGGGTCCCAAAAGTGGTTGCTAGGGTGTGGCCAGAAAGTTAAAGCTCATCAGTTATTGGCAGTTAGATAGTCTGAGTTAAATGAGCCCAGTTAGAAGCCTGTAGGACAGTCTGATGCAGACTTATGAGGTCACAAAGTTTGGTCCAATGTTAAGTCAATGGGATTTTTCAGACGGTCCCGGGACGTTTTTCGGAAAACCAAAAGTCGGATCAGTCGGAAAAGATATAGCAACCCGAGTCAGACCAGTTTGGAGGTCTGGTGTGAGTTTGGTGGTCATAGCTTGAAAGCTCTAGGAGGAGATAGAGTTTAATTTTTAGTCTCAGAAGAAAAATAGGATAACAATAGTCTGGCTTGCTACACAAGCCAGCCTAATTAAGTTTAACCGTACACCACACAAATGGACCTGTCAGATGAACGCCGCTCCCGTTAACGTTAATTTTGCCAAATAACTGCTTATCACTGGGTGAAGTGCAAAGTGAAAACACCATCGCAAACTCACGGTTAACTGAAAAGCCCATCAAAATGAGCATTGCAATGGACAGGATGGGTTTAGTAAAGGCAATGCTATAAAAAAATGTTTTGTAAATAATTTTGCAAAAAAAAAAGTTTTTCCAGTGCAGTTCTTTATTTATTTATTTTTTTCTCAAAAAAGTACTTTTTGCTTTGTGATTTTAGGAGAATTGCATTTTTTATTTATTTTTTTATTTTTATTCAATATTTTTTGTTTGCAAAACATTCCTTTATTTTGCAAGTATATATATGCCCCTAGCCTAGATTGACTCCATACTTTTACACTTTGTGGCCAAATGTCCTCACAAATACCAAAAGTACATTTTGACCTTATGGGGACATTTTTTTGTCCCCTTGAAGAAATCAAACTAAATTAAGCATGTTAAAAATGTCAAAATTCAGATTGTTTCCTGTGAGAGTTGGGTTTAAGGGTATAGAGTAACAGAATATGTGTAGACTACAGTAGTGTGTGTGTGTGTGTGTGTGTGTGTGTGTGTGTGTGTGTGTGTGTGTGTGTGTGTGTGTGCGCGCGCGCGCGCGTGCGTGTGTGGTTCAAACTTCCGCAAACTCTGTTTTCGGTCGGTCGGTCAGTCAGTGATCATCATGTCCAACAATAATGCTAGCAGCAGCAGTGTGGCCGCGGCGCAGAAAGCCGTCAAACAGCTCAGACATGAGGCCGACATGGATCGAATGAAAGTAAGTGTGTCAATGTCAATAAAGTATGTGATAGAGTTTTCGGGTTTAAGCGAAACACAGGCAGAAGAGTAAAAGGTGTTAGTTACCGCTAGTGCTAACGCTAACCGACAAACCAACTCTTTTAAACTCGATTCACTTGTGTACATCTCGATTACATTAGTTTTCTAACGCTATGGCTACTCGTAGATACATTTAAAGTGGCTTATACAAGCTTGATACAGTCGGAAATGGTTTTAAGGAGTAAAGTTCAGTTTGTTGTTTCCCCCGAGCTCATTAATAATGCAAATAAATTCAAATACAGCAGCACAAAAAACGAGACTTTGATGGTTCTCTGGTGGAGTCGACGTGTGACTTTAAACGACTTAAAGATGAGTACATTTGAGTGGTGTTTTGGTTAAAAATAGTGTAACAGTAAAGAACATTGCATTGTTTTAAGTGAAAAGTGGGTAGTATTAGCCTATGTTTTTATTCAACTAGCTTTCCTATACATTAATTGTGTCAGTGTTGCCTGACAGAAATTGAGGTGCGTTTGTTTACTGTGCGTTTAACAAAGAAGCAATGGGATATTATGTAAGAGCTTATTGTTTTGACCGTAAATGAAAATACAATAGTGAATAGTCTGAAAGTAATGCTGACGGAGACCGTCATACTTTACAAGATCATTAATAACAGTACATTTATTTTAAAGTGATAGTTCACCCCAACATGTAAGTTCTACAGTTTATTCACCCTTGTTTTAAACTTCTATTGAACACTTTATAAGATACTTTGAGGAAAGTTGGAAACCTGTAACCTTTGACTTGCATAGTATTTGTTTTTCCTACCATGGAAGTCAATGGTTACAGGTTTTTAGCTTTCTTCAAAATATCTTATTTTCTGTTTTAACAGAAGGAAGAAACTCATAGGTTTGAAACCACTGTAGGGTTGTGACGATATATCCCCACCGGTTAATCGACATGTGACAACACCGGTAATACCGGTATCACCGTGGGGTGAGGGTTTCCTCTTTTTTTCTGCTTTTGAATAGCTTATAAATGCGTGCGTATTATATTTTCACTTTCGGTTTTGCGGGAATTGCCAATTCGTCGTCAATTGTTTAAATGGAAGACAAGGAAACTACAAAAAAAAACTTTTATTAACATAACGCAAAAAACACAACAATGCTACAGGCTGAAATAACTGTGGAAGTTGGAACCAAACAAGTAACAACCATAAAACTTTTATTACGTTTTATTATGCGCTTATTGTGCACACGCAAAGATCTCATGTTCTTCTCATCAAACTTCAATGTCTTAATGTATCAATTGTATAATAATAGCTTAGTCCTTATGAACAATCCGTTTATAAAATAGCCTACATTATTAACGAATCTATGGGCTATTGAAGAATAAACCAAATGTGAAATATGATCCTTGCATAATGATCACAACTAAACAAGCTAGCACTCATTTTATATATAAACTATAAATAAATAAAAATTCTGTAATTTCTGTATTTTCTGTAAAGATCAGACAGCCTATACAGATCACACAATCTCAATAAACAACATGTAAATGTATGAATATTCGATACGTATTGTTATGGAATATTTATAACGATATGATCTTGCTTTTGGTTATGTCGATACCAGCTTTGAGCTCTCTCTCACTTTCTCTGCATAAAGCCTTGTTTATACTCGACTTGTTCGCTTGAGTGCGCGCAGCGAATGTGACGTCATTGCGGAGTTTGCGGAGGTTCACTTTGGGTGCGCGCGGCATGATTTCGGCTGGCGGTGCGTCGGGCATTTTTTGAGACTCCGCAACTGATTTGAGTTGAATATGAAACAATTTCAAGAGATTTTATCTGAAACAGTAGGACTGAACAGACATCTTATGACTCGTGATCAGAGAGATAACCAGATAATCAATAATTCTTGGCTAGAAATTGCAACAGCCATGGGAAAGGAGAGAGTTTTTGTTAAAAGGTTTGAAAAAACCTGAAGAATAAATGTATTAAAGTCAAAAGAGGCCATGGCAAAATGTACACAATTACAGAATATGTTTTTCCACCAGTCATAGGTTTTGCACTGATGTATTTTGTTTGATTTTGTATTAAAAACAATTTAATAGTTACAATACAATGCATACAATACTTTCGCTTGTGGTTAAAGTACTTCTGAATTTGTCAAGATCTTAAAAATGTAGATCAGATCAAAGCTATAAAGTTGTGGTGTGTTTCTGTGTGTTTTCTACTGATTTAGAGCTTGAAAAAAAAGTTACTTCTTTTTAAAAGAATTGTATTTTATCCTATAGACTAGGGCTGCGCAATAAATGGTTTCAGCATTCATATCGCAACGTATGCATTTGCAATAGTCACATCGCAGCATCTGCAACGTGAGGATTAGTATAGTTGATAAGCAAAGAAGAATGTTAAGTGTTTACATTTTACAATACATTAGATAATTCATTTACATTTACATTGTCATTTAGCAGATGCTTTTATCCAATTATATTTAAAAAAAAATATTTTTTTTTGAGTACAGTTAGTGGTAGAACCAGAGGCCGATTGCAGATTAGGAAGTGAAGTGGAGACTAAATTGAGTTTTTAGTCGTTTTTTGAAGACAGCGAGTGACTCTGCCGTTCTGATGCAGTTAGGGAGTTCATTCCACCAACTGGGCAGATTGAATGAGAGAGTTCGGGAAAGTGATTTCGTCCCTCTTTGGGATGGAACCACGAGGCGACGTTCATTTACTGAACGCAAGTTTCTAGAGGGCACATACATCTGCAGAAGTGAGAGCAGATAAGAAGGAGCAAAGCCAGAGGTCGCTTTGTAGGCAAACATCAGAGCTTTGAATTTGATGCGAGCAGCAACTGGCAGCCAGTGCAAACGGATGAGCAGCGGAGTGACGTGTGCTCTTTTAGGTTCATTAAAGTATTCAATAGTAGGGGCAGGGCAAAATAGTGATATGCATAAGGTGGCCCTTCTCATAATGGCAAATCAAACACATATCAGGGTTGCAATTCTAAGAAGTATATGCGCGCTGTTAATATAAGAAATGCATCTAACTTTTTAATTTAATTTTAATTTTCACTTTTCGTTTACAAATATCATGACATATTGTGGATGGTTTTCTTGTGATACACCACTTATATCGTGATCTATCATTATTGGAGGAAAAAGTTTACAAATCGTATTACTGTACCTGAATATTCGACTATTATTTCAATTTTATGTTATTTATTTAATCTTGTAATTTGTTTGATTTACTCCTCTACAAGATTATTACAATCTAAGTTATGATTTTATTCCAAATTGAGCTATTCAAGTCATCTGCTGAAATTAATAAGTAATTTATTAGATTTATTTAAGAGATTCATAAACTCCTAAACATTTATTTAGTGTATATTGGGAGTATTTTAGCCCTAAAGGAGACCTTATAGACTCAAAAAAGCCCCCAGCATTAGCCAGTCTATGAAAAAAACATAGTTTTGCCATATAAATTATGTAACTATTAAAGTAAATTAAAATGCTCCATGAAGACATTTTTGTAATTTCCTACTATAATGATATAACATTCATTCTTGATCAGTGATGTGCATTGTGCATTAATTTGGTCAACTTTAAAGGAGATTTTGTCAATAATTATTGAGATTTTTTCCTGATTTCAGAAGTTCACAGTCATATAATATATTGCAATATATTGTAATATGTACACAGTAATATATTGGGTCAAATATTCTCCTATATAATAATCTATACATCCTCAATGCAAAGATTATTGAATCATGTATAAATGTATGCAATGTATACATTTAAATTACATCACAAATCAAAAAAAAAGATCACAAATATATTACATTACCTGCATACTCTCGGATCATCATGACCGTCTTTCTGTGTGTGTTTAACAGGTGTGGTTGTGTCTGCTTTATAAACGTTAAACAGGTTTGTGTACTCAATCCCTGTTGTTTAACATATCGCTCTGATTTCAATCTCTGCAGGTGTCTCAGGCTGCCAAAGACCTGATTAACTTCTGTGTGCAAAATGCCATTAAAGACCCTCTGCTGGCGACCATCTCTCCCAAGGATAACCCCTTCCGGCCGCCCAAGTCCTGTGGCCTCCTCTGAGCCGGCCAAGGTTATAAAAAAAAAAACACCCTTCTGTGCTTGATACATTTTTGTTTAAGGGTTAGTTCACCCAAAAATTGACCATTTACTCAACTTTAAGTGCTTCCTAATGTGTATTATCTAATTATATTAAATATATTATCTTTAAAGACAAGCTAACTGTGAGCTATGAGGATAATCAGAGGCATATTGTTCTGTTGAACCCATAAATTCAGTTTATTCTAGAAAATAATTTTCTGGTAACTACATTACCCATGATGCTCTACAGAAAATTCCACCAATCAGAAAGCCGCAGTTAGCAAAGTGCCATTAATTACATAAATCAGTGTTCATAATCAAAATAATCAATTATTTCAACATAAGTACATATATATTTGCAATAAATGTTAAAAATTATATATTTTATACCTTCAAATTATTAACAGTTTTGTTTTTCTCCCCATGTCTAATTAATAAATAAAGAAAAATACACATGAAGAACTCCTGGGAGAGATCATTTTAATTAATAATCCATTAATAACAAGCAAAATTCACAGCGCAATAGTTGGGTTCCAGAAGTAAAAACTTATAATAATATATACTAATATTTTTAAAGAAACATAAACTGTCTTCTTAACAATTTGAATAATATTTATTATTAATAATAATAATTTCATATTATTATATCATTCATTCATTTTCTTTACACTTTAATCCCTTTATTAATCTGGGGTTGCCACGGCAGAATGAACCACCAACTTATCCAGCATATGTTTTATGCAGCTGATGCCCTTCTAGCTGGAACTCATCACTGGGAATCATCCATACACACACACAATATATATAAATAATAATATAAATATAATATATAATAATATAGATATAATAATATAAAATTATTATTATTAATAATATTATAAATGTTATTTATAATATTTATTATAATATTATAAATGTTATTTATAATATTTATTATAATATTTTATAATTATTATTGAAATAATATTCAAATTGTTATGAAGACATTTATTTTGAGGTTTATTTTAATGGATTATTAATTAAAATGATCTCTCCCAGGAGTTCTTCATGTGTATTTTTCTATATTTATTAATTAGACCTGGGGAGAAAAACAAAACTGTTCATTATTTGAAGGTATAAAATATATTTTTTACTTTTAATATTGCAAATATAGATGTACTTACGTTTAAATATTTAATTACTTTGATTATAAACACTGATTTATGTCATTTCTTGGCACTTTGCTAACTGTGGCTTTCTGATTGGTGGAATTTTCTGTAGAGCATCATGGGTAATGTAGTTTTCACCAGACATTTATTTTCTAAAAATAAACCGAATTTATGGCTTCAACAGATCAATATGCCTTTGATTATCCTCATAGCTCACAGTTTGTTTGTCTTTAAAGGTAATATATTATTATTTAATAATACAAATTAAGTCAATTTTAATTTTAATGAGTGGAGTTTTACTTCTAAAACACAGCTTGTGCTCTGTAAATATTGCTTGTTAAGTAATTAATAATTAAAATGTTTGCTCATATATTTGTATATTTATTCATTATACATGGGGAGAAAAACAAAACTGTAAATTTTTGAAGGTATAAAATAGATTTTTAGACATTTATTGCAAATACATTTGTGTTTATGTACAAATATTTAATTATTTTGATTGAGTGTGGAGACTTGATTATATCATTTATGGTGCTTTGTTAACTGAGGCCTTCTGATTTGGGGGAATGTTCTGTAGAGCATCATGGGTAAGGTAGTTTTTTCATAATAATGATTACTGAGTAATGTGCAATTAAGAGTTTAACAGAACAAAATGACATTGATTATCCTCACAGGCTTCTCCTTTTAGTTTTTTTAAGGTTTGAAAGTTATTATTTTTTGTTTAAATAATAATAATTTTCAAACACAAGTAATTTTTTACCCAGATTTTACTTCAGAAACCCACATTTTGCTCTGTTAATCCGCTTTATTAATTGATTAATAACTAAAATTATTGCTCATTTATTTTGATTTATGATTTAATATATTAATATCTGTGTTTTCTGTGTTCTTTCAGAGCTGGTGAAGCTGTCTTCATCTTTACTCTACATTAAAGCCTCTGGAGCACTACACACTAGAGAGCATAGCATTTTCTCTCACACACACACACTAATTTCATTTCTTATTGCTGTTTAGTTGTATTATGAGTAATAATACGTTGTCTATATGCTGAATTTACACTGTTCACTCGGTACGATCTGTTACTGTTAAAATTTCTGAAAACCCATAACAAACACACACACACACACACACCGTGTTACTCATGTTCAAGGATCAAACACTATTTTATGAGTCTTTTATAAAGCAGAAACTAATTGAAGATTGTATGAAGTTTTCCTGGTTTATATGGAAGAATTTAGAAGCGTAGAGTTACCATTCGTCCTGTCTAAAATATACTTTTACTAATTTATGGCCATGTTTGGTGTGAAGGTCATGTTTTGTGTTGAGGTCAGAGCTCGTTTTGGATGCTGTTTCTCATTAATGATCATCTGATGAGCTGAATCAGGTGTTTAATGAGGGAGACTGACAAAATGTGCTAGGTTTTTTTATTTTTGGGAAAACCTGAATGGATGTTACATTTAAAAATATATCTCTTTTCAATGTCTTTTTACTACACTGACTATTAAAATAAAATGTTATTAATCATTATCTTGTGTCTGTGTGTGGATTTTAACCCTTGTTATATTAAACTTTATATATATTTATACCTTTTTATATTATATACATTGAAATACTCATTAGTTGTTGGTTATTTTTAATGTTTATGACTTAAAATGTACATATAATGTAAATGAAGTGACCACACATGCTTCACTATTCATCTATATGTATTTTAAGTAAGTTATAGTTTGTTTCTGACATGTAATTGGCTCAGAGCTGATGTTAATTAGACTCAAGCTGTTAATCACCAATGAGATGATTGAAGGAAACCTGTTTGATCATCGTGTCACCTAATCTAGCAGAAGTTACTTCAGATCTCATTTCATTTTTCCTCTGTAACACTTTTTTGAAGAATTAAGAGGCACAACTGCAGTGCTTTTGATCTGGTAAGATGTATATTATAACATTTACACCATATGTCCTCCAGAATTTTGCAAGGATGTTTATTATTATTATTTTTTTTTTTTGACATCAGCAGTCTAAAATGTCTGATTTTGTGACGGCTTTTTGTCAAAACGTTTGGCATTTGCATCAATTCTTACTTTTTTTTTTTTTTTTTTTTTTTTTTTTTGCATTAGAAATACACAAATATCTTCTAAAATGTCTAATTTCATGAACCATTGGACTCTCCAAAGCAAAATAAATTATAATAAAATCTAGATCTCAAAATATTTTTTTAATCTTATACTGTATGGGTGTATTTAGAGGAAAAGCCAAAAAGAAAAACATTATAGGTGCCAAAACTTGTTTCATGAAGACATTTAGTAAATTTCCTGCCATGAACATATAAAACTATATTGTTTGTTGATAATATGCATAACTGATAACTTAATTTGACCTTGATTTTCTTAGTATTTTATATTTATTTTTGGTAAGTTTATGAAATTGATTTTCAAATAGTTATATTTCAACCAAATATTGTTCAATCCTTCACGGTTAAAAAAAAAAAAAATAGGATTTCACACAATTCATTCATGTTGTCCCAACACAAATCGATTGAGTTAACAATTAACGATTAAATGGATTGAACATAAAACAATTAAGTTGTCCCAAAAAAATCTCAACATTTGCGTTTTGGCTCAATTTGAAAAAGTTCAATAAAGTGACCACCAATGCATTTATTTAAATGTATTTAAAGTGAGTTGTCATTTGTTTCTGATATGTAATTGGCTCAGAGCTGATGTTAGTTAGACTCAAGCTGTCAATCACTAATGAGATGATTGAAGGACACCTGTTTGATCATCATGTGACTCAATCTAGCAGAAGTTACTTCAGATCTCAGTTCATTTTCTCTGTAACACTTTTTTTTTTTTTTTTTTTTGGAAGAATTTAAGAGGCACGACTGCAGTTTTTTTGCTCTGGTAAGCTGTATATTATAACATTTACACTATACATTCTCCAGGAATGTGCAGATACCCTTTTATGATAAATGCAGTCTAAAATTTCTGATTTTGTGATAGTTTTTTTTTTTATCAAAACTTTTGGCATTTGCATTAATTCTTGTTTTTTTCTGCTTTTTGTTTTTTTTTAGAACAATTAGAAATGCACAAAGAGTTTATAAGATGTAGAATATCATGAACTGTTTGACTCTCAATAGCAACAAAAAAAGACCATAATATTAATCTGGACCACAAAATCTTTTTTAATCATATTGTATGGGTATATTTGGAGGAAAAGCCAAAAATAAAGACATTGTAGGAGCCAAAACTGAAGTAATTTCTGCTTGAATGAGTCACATGATGATCAAACAGGTTTCCTTCAAACATCTCATCAGTGATTGACAGCCATCATGTTTCATGAAACATGTTTAGTAAATTTCCTACCATGAACGTATCAAAACTATATTGTTTTTTGATTATATACATTGCTGAGAACTTAATTTGGATTTTATTTTCTTAGTATTTCATATTTTTTCGAAGTTTATTGAATTGAATAATTAGATTTTTAACACTCTTAATGCAAATTTTCAGATTCAATCCTTCACTGTAAAAAAAAGTGTTACACAATTCATTTATTTTGCCCCAACACAAATCGATTAAGTTAATAATGAAGTGTTTAATAATTAAATTGTCCCAAAACATCTTAAGAATTGTTTCAGCTCATTAAAAAAATAATTTGAGTAACATATTTTGATTTGTTTTTTATGTAACAAATCATTTAACGATGCAAAGCTTATTAATTCAGCTTTGAAATGGTAGATATATCTCAATTAAAAGAAACATTGAAAGTTAAATAAGTTTGTATTGTTTCTCCCAAAACACTGTCTGGTTATTTTTGTCAATAGCATTTGTGGTTTTGAGACTTTAATAATTCCTACAAAAGTTTTTCCTTCAAATAATGAAGATATTCATTAGATATTATAATAGATTATAAATTGCATAAGATATTAGTGCTTCATTCATGATGTGATGCTGTTGTTCCAGTGACTGCAGGACTATGACGCACAAACAGATCGCAAAATCACCAGAATCTCACATGAGAGCTCAAGACTCCACAGGTACACAATCACATTCAGATTTATTAAGCGGCTCTAAGGAATACTTTATTCCTAGTTATTGTAAATTGTGACATTTTAGCGTATGTTCACACATATGACAAAATTAAACTAAAGAATACTACAAATAATGTTGAAATACAGCCTACGTGTTCTTTCATGTGTTTGGCGCCATCTTGTGACTGAATAATAATAATAGGCTAGTATAGTTCTTTCTTCAAAAACTTTACGTTTAATGAAAGAGCTAATAAACTATTACAGCTCAATTCAGTGTTTTGTGTCTAATAAGTTAGTTTTTGTGCTACTAATTCGTGTAATAATTGTATAATATGGCGCCTGTTGTTTTCACGGATTAAAGCCAACCCAACAAACACATTTACGTTGTAGCGATGTCTGCACAACGTTGTATTTTTTCAAAGGCAACGTTGCCGCTTACGTGCTCGCTACATTGTCACAACGTAGAAATGTAAGACGTGAGAAGGCTGTAGCAACGTTGTCGTGCGACATTCAGCAACCGCGAGGCGGCGTTCTTACTACTTGTATTAATATTTTTTTGTGGCAGTTTATCAATACTGCCTAGAATACAGGATAAGCAGCAATTCTTTTCCAGTATTGCTTAATATGAAATATTGTTCAATTATTTTTCCTATTTAATTTAACAACTGCATGTGTAAACTTTAAAGTGTAAAAATAACACACAAATGAATATAATCAAACTTTTTATTATATATTTCACAACATTTAATACATACAGTACAAATCTAATTATAAACAAACAGTATAAAGTTTAGATTATATATATATATATATATATATATATATATATATATATATATATATATATATATATATATATATATATATATATAATTAAATTAAAGGGTAAACAAACAAGAAAAGTAAACAAGAAATCATAAAAAAAAAATATATATATATATATATATATATATATATAAATATATAAATTAAAATTCAGACACTGGGCAGTGAAGCTCTGGACTGGAGAATACAGCAGACCAGGGAGCGCAGCTGAAGACCAGGCATAGTTGTTGGTATGGAGAAAGCAGTCAGAGGAAGAAACAAATTCAACAGATAATCCAGCTTCAGAGATCCACAGCAGACACAAGTCAAAATAGGCAGTGAACAAGAGAGGACAGATGGAAACGAATATGACTAGCAAGTTATTGAAATTTCAGACATTTATTGTAATTTCATTACATATGAAATCTCCAGTGAACGGAATGCCGAAATGTTACTCGCTCGTAACAACTTCATTACGGCTTTTGTGTGTGTGTAATGTTGGAACAGATTGTTGTCGAAATCGTAGGTTTGTTTGAATATTCACGATTTACGTAGCCTATCTTATTTAGCAAGAAGAAATAAAGCAATACTCACGTCTCCTCGGTCGTTGATGAATGAGACGACGGCTTGTTGAAATTTAAACTGATTCAGCTGTGACCAGTAAATGTTGTACAGTGGTTGTCCACGCCACCTAAGCACAACCTAAAGTATGCGGCCCTCGTGATGTTTAAATGGCAACCTTATGACATCGTTGTGACAACGTTTAGCAACAACGTAGAATCCTCAACCTTTTTCCAAGGTTGGTACAACGTTGTAGAAAGGTCGCTACGTTGAGGCAACGTTGTGTGTTTGTTGGGAATCTGCTTCGCGACTGCTTAAAAGTTAGTCAGGTCTTATTTTGCGGAAACAAACGTACATTATTTCTTAAATACAGATTAAACTGTTACAAACCCTATGAAAGCACAGACTGACAGTGTGTTTTTGTGTGTCAGAGATATTGAACTCTCTGATTGAGCCTCAAGAAAACACTCGCAGTTTCTCCCGCCGACTCTTCAGAGAAGATCAGACAGACCTGACCAAGAGTTTACAGGTTCATTAAACACTCCGACAACACACTAAATATACACAGTAGCTTCAGGATAATCTCACTGAACCTTCCATTAACATATCTGGATAAATAATGTGGATATTTTATTCTATTCTTAATTAACATTTTGGCAAATCCATGAAGACAGAATAGTGCATGTCAAGGAGTTCATCTGAATCTAAAAATAGATCAAATGTTAAATGTTTTATATACGAATGTACGACAAAACTAGTCTATACAAAACTTTTTCTAGCACAGATATAAAAAATATATAATTTTTATGTGTTATGTCTAAATATAAAAACATTTTCTCAAACATATTCATGCAGTTGTGTGTTTAGGTATAATAATTGTATGATATATGAAGTTTATTATGTTATTTAGCCTTACTGTCTGTCACAGGAGCAGCTTACGGAAAAGGATCTTCACATCGCCAGACTACAAGATGCTCTGACCTCTGAAAGAAAAAAGGTGCATCCTCATTATCATCATCATCACGATTAAATACAGTTCCTGCACTGTAAAAAAAAAAATGTTGTGTTTTACAAAATTACTTAATGTTGTCCCAAACACAAATTAATTTAATGTTTTTTACAAGTGTAAGTG